GCTTTAAATGTATCATTCCAATCCAAAATCAGGGGGCATGTAGTCAGAGAAGGGTCATGATGTATAGAAACTAATAGAGCCAGTATTCCGGTTGGATGTGATCAAATCTGCACTGTTCCACACCCTTAAGCACTGTTTGAATACTTCATAAATTCTGTACAGCAAGGTTTTTAGTAGGCCTGCATCTTACTTCATTGCATCAAATCACAATGTGCTTCATGAAACGTAAGTACAAGAGGGTTGCACAGTCTTTTAATAATGCACCTGTTCACTGTAAGCCTGTCCATGTTCTTTTTCAGGGTTTTCTTGCAAACAGTCTTGAATGTATACATTGCAACATGTGAATAGAAGGGTTTTTCACAACCTACAGACTTTGGTGTCAGATCATGTACATACATAAGTATATTTATTATAATAAAATTTGAAAAAACTAAAAAACTTGCTTGTAGTTGGATGAACTATTGCAGACAAAGCAGCTTTTGTACGCATGCATTGAATGTCACACATTTATCATGTATAGGCATGTTTTAAATTAAAGTTGATGGTTGCAGATGAGTGCAGATTGTCAACACTGCAAAGCCTACATACACATCAGATTAGGGCCTACCCAGAGGTATTTTTGCAGTGGATTAACATGTCACCACCTTGGGTTTATAGTATTCGATTTAACATGGACTAAGATAGATACTCTAACTCCCTAATGGATTTATTTGTAAGAGTCTTTGAAGGTATTCCTGGTGGCTGGCTGTCAGAGGCTGGCTGTAAGGGGCTATTTGGAGGTCAGCTCAGAAATAGTTGGAGAAATCTTCATCTGATCCTGTCAAAGACCAAAGACTGGGCTGGTCTGAATACATATTAAGCAATGAAATTCTGTTCATCTCTTCATGGAACATCTTGTGTTTATCCCTTTGAGAAGAGTTTTGCGAGGGTTAACTAAAATAGATGCAATTTTAGTTGACAGTTACATTTCATTTTCACACCTTTCTTTTTATAAGGACAATTTTGTTAGCTTTGTGTTCCTAGTATTTCTAGAATATCTAAATACTGAGTCAAAATAATAGTCATGTTAAAAGTTCAACACATCATTTTTTTTCTCTGGTTTAAATGAGCAATTATTTACAAAAAAGGATAAAACTACAGTCTACAGAGGACATTTTATCAGAACATTTTCTGGTAAAAATGTGATAAGTTGGAAGATATACAGTACCTACAAATGATGTAAAGTTGAAAGAAAAGTGTTTAATTATCATTGATGAGATTTGCAACAATGGTACATGTATTTAGTGTTGCTCCTCTGTTCAGAACGATTCTCATCAGCTGCTTTCTGGTTGTGCTTTCAGGCTGAAAACAGAGTGATATCAGGATAAACATTTATCATCCACGCACAGTTGCTGTAAAACATAAATAATTCTTACTTGTCATTATAACACTACATTTGAATTATCGCCCAATGTTAATTCTGATAAATCGTCTAGTAACTCCTCAAGTTGCACCTTAAATGAGCTCTAAATTGACTTTAACGATCTCCCAGTCATGAGCGGTTTCTCCGATAATTCCCGGTAAATAGACCCCTGGCATTTAAAGACCACTCAGCCTCGGTTGCTGGATGTAGAAGTGTGCAATTATCTCAAAGGGTCAAATATAATTAAAGCATCCCTCCTTTTCTTAGCAGATGCCTAACTCATTGTATGTGCAATGGAACATTTCTTACAATAAAAAAACAAAACAAGTGTTACATTTTCAAGTATCAAATTAAGAAAGGAATTGTTTGGGACATTACATGTTTATATAGAATACTTCTTTACTACTCAAGCGTTAGAAACCTGCAGAGAATCATGAGTAGAACATATTAAAAAAAATTGAAGAAGTTACTCGACACCCAAAAGCAAGAGGCAGCAAATGAGAGGATTTATTTATCAGGATTTTGATGAACAAAAATCAGTGGCCTGCTAACATGATTCAGAAGGCTCTCTGACATGTTGTCTCCTTAATGTCATCTCACAGAGGCACTAAGCTCTGTTAAATGTGAGTCATGTTGAACCTCTTTGAACTTCACGACAGACCTACATTGTCATCCAGAGTTCCAAAAATATAAAGGTGATGAATTATACATGGGAAGGAAAATGGAGGGGATGAAAAAGTGGAGGAGATAAAACCTCCTGAAACAGTGCTCTTTGAAATAGGTTCTGGAGGTTTCCAGACAAATGTTCATGAACAAATGTACTTAGGTTCAAATGTGCAATCCCTGTAAGGCCAGCTCATACACAAAATAGCCACATCATAGACGTTTTAAAAAGATATGCTTCGTTAGGTTTAAAAATGTACCCTTAAGAGGTGAGTAAATCGTCTTTCTCTTCAGTTGCTCAAAAGCGATTTTTCTAACGTATGCACGATAGAGTCATTTATTTGCTTCACTCCGTCGCTTGGAAACTAACAAACTAAGCAGACTGGTTCACAGAAATGCAAGCTACACACTTGGCAGAGACAGACCAGCGCATCATCACCTCATCTGGACGAAGATGGTGGGTTTCATAGGCTGTGGGTTGCCATGGAAACCCCCAACGGAATCCATCGCAACCATGCACAGACGGCTGAGCAGTGTTATTTCAACTCGCCCCCTTCCTTCCACCACCATCCCACACACACACATAGCGCTGTGAAGCACGAGGAGATGTGGTGTGAGGACAGAGGCTAGCACAGCTGGACAGGGGATGCAGGATGACCCTGACTCTACATGGAAAAACGGATAGAAGATACAGCTGCACACATAAATCTACTGTATGCAGTGATTCATTTTATTTTTAGCCTTCGGACTATATCACAGAATACATGATTCAACAATGGACCGGCATGAAAAACAATCATATTCTAATCATTGGCAGTATGAGACATACAACGTTGGGGGTAGTTTTTGAATGTGAATGAAGTACTGTGAGGTATATGGAAGCAATACCTGATTTAAAATTTGAAAAAACTGGGGAAATGTATTTCTCTTAAAGTATCATTAGCAACATACTGTTTTCATTTCATTAGAAGATGACGTTTCCTTTACATTAGATACCAAAAAACTGCAGAAATACAGAAATCAGAAAGCTGGTTATGAGCACTGTTGACTGAGTGATGGTTTGGAAGATGTTATGACTGCACCGCATTTAATTTAAATATAAAGTGCCCTTTTTAGAGCAGGCAATATGTAAGTAGATGTGAATTTGTGAAGGACCCATCAGATTCATTTTTCAGCTCGCTCACTATGTGCTCAGTTGTTGTGCATCTCTAACCACCAGAAGCAAACATCACTTAAAAGCAATGTAACAGAGCATCGGTAAAAAATATCAAATTAATAATGAATACATTGATTAGTTTAATAATAAATTCATTTATAAATAGCAGACACAGGGTACAAATCCATTTGACAGATAATTTCTTATGAGTTATCAATTCGCCATGAAGGAACTCGCTGTGAGCAAGGAAGACCCCCAAAGGAGAAAGGGAGGAAGCCCTGCAGTGAGATATGCACTCCTGCTGAGAGGAATCACCATAACTAACAACAAACAAACAAACAAACCTGCATTTGGTAACAATAAAACGGTTTATACTTTTCTTTAAACTGTGGAGACAATTCTGGCAAGAGGTTTTTTTTACAGAGAGAACTATCAAGTATTACATTACATGTCACTTAGACGCTTTTATCGAAAGCGACTTACATAGTCAATACTGTGGACAATCCCCACAGGAGCAATTTGGGGTGAAGTGTCTTTCCCAGGGACACAACGACATGCTGACTGCAGTGGGGTTTGAACCTGTCTGATCCGAACACCAACACACAACCCACTGCACCACACGCCCCCCAAGTATAAAATATATCCACGTGGAACATGATTTTTGAAGAAGCACTCAAAAATGTGTATTTACATGGTTATGTCACCGAACATGTTTAATCTGGCATAGTAGCTTTGTAAAGTGTGTCAATAAAGGAGGATTTTAAATTCCTTTACTGAAGTGAGAAATGTCTTCACTAACCTCAAATCTGAGATTCAAATTAAGCCCAGGCAAACTAGATTTGGTACGTCACAAATTTGAAAGCCAATCACTGTTTAAAGTGCAAACGCAGACAAAATAAGCCTGAAACCTTCAGTGCTTAGTAAATCAGACTATAGTGCTTTCTTTCACTATATTACAAAACATCCCAGTATATATTATTGTATCTTTCACAGCCACAACCCTGTCATCCACAAATAAAGATCCAAACTACACTTACCATTTAAATGCATCTTGTTGTCGGTTATGGTGCACAACAGACTCCTCATCCGGGTTAAACGTGCTTCCTCTCATGTTGGCCATCTTCATGCAGACTGTTCTTTCACCGGTCAACCTAGTGAGACATCTGCATTTGAACAAGTGACAACGAGTGTATGCTTCTCCAGGCCCTTTTCATATTTTGAGAACATTTGTATGAGGAAAACACCATGTTAAACTAATAATTAATCATACTTAAGAATATTTAAAGAAATACAAATCAGATTTACAAATATTATTTGTAATCAGCATATTTTATAAGAAATAAATTGCACTCATTTAACTTAATCCAGAAGTTCACATTGAAACAAATGACGGAAGCACTTGAATTTGATCACCCTCTTAAAGTGGCCTGCAGGTGGCATGTGTGCTGCACATATAAACCAGTGTCTGAGCAAAACCTTCAAGTTCATTGGCAAACACTGTCAATCAAATGTGTTAAAAACTAGAAAAACAGGTACTATGGCAAATACTGATACAACCGTCACATGGAGTACAACATAGAAAAAAGCACCTCCAGACATATTGACATTGACACTAATATGCCTTTCCTACTGAAGACATTTGGCAAGGTCTCAGTAGTAACAAAAATCAAAAGCAGAGATTAACAAATAAATGATGGTTGAATTGAAAGTAGCTGCTTCAGTTTCAGGGTTCCTGTGTCACACTGCCACGGTTTAACAAAGGAAACAAACTCACCAGGGTTGAAGAGGGTAAAGAAAAAATAATCCTCGATGATTTATTTTTTGGAATACATGCAATTTTACTGATGGAGAACTCATGTAAAGAGGACAAAAACTCAGGGAACGTACACAGTCCACATTTGTTTGTAAGTGCAATTCATCCAGAATATAATACATTTCATCAACAACCCACAAATCAAATGGGGAACACAGCGTAGGTTAACATTTGGTAGATTTAAAAAAACTTGGACAACAAAAATAACACATTCACTATATTAGGTTTGCATTCCTGAAAACAGTCAAACTGGCAGCAAAACTGACTCGCGTGGAGTCGAGAGAATCGATGGTAATAATCTCTGAAAAGTTCAACTCTCGAGAATGTTGTAATGCTAAATTGCTCCATTGACCAACAGCAGGCTGTCTAGACAGTGATGACCTTTGAGTGCATGGAGAGCATCACTTTTTATTGAACAAAAAGGTGTGAAGTAAAGACCAAAATGCCACTGGGAAGTCAATACAACCGATTGTTAATTGTTAATCAAGGCAAAATGTCTGTTGTGAAAAAGGCCATCTGATTTCTTCACCTGCATTACATTTGTCTTGCTTCATTGCATTTTCACAGCAGTTGTGCGACTCGTACGGCATGTCGGGCAAAGAGCTAAGACTGACTTTTTAAGTCATGTGGGAAGGTGACAACAGGAAGTAGGTGATTGTTCTTGGGTGTGATGGTGATCTGTATATTTATAGTGTTCTGATCTACGGTCACAAAGCGGTGCAGTGCAGAGTCGTCCTGAGCATCTTCCTGCTGAGGGTCTGTACTCGTACCCACCCCCACCTCTCCTGAAGGGTCCAGAGGGTAGTCTTTGTCTCCTGGAGAGCGTGGACAGCACAAGAGAGACAAAGAGAAAAGCAGAGATGGGGAAAAAGACAAATAGTTAAATAAATCTTCTAAAACCACCAGACTCAGGGACAGTTTCATCCCACAGGCCATAAGACTGGTAAACACCTGAACTTTTGAAAGAACATACAATAAAAGCCTTGACACTTGAAACTATCATATGCATTCATGTTTCCTCACTAACATTTTCCTCTAACTCAACTGTAGGGCCCAGTAGGTTTTAGCAAACATTGCATTTGTTGGCAACCATTAAGTAGAAACAACATCGGAATGAATTAAAATCAACAAAACACAGCCCTTGTTTTTATATTATGAAATAAATACTGTGCCTCAATGGTGTGCTCTTTTAAATTCACTTCTGTACAATAGTGGAACAGAGTTGTCATATAAGGCATAATAACCTCCACAACTTATTTACATTTATTATTTACTTAATGAAACATAAAATAAGCATGTTTGGATGTGGCTTAGATGAGATATATGATACCTGGCAGCAGTGATAAGAACTGTTTATCCTTTAAGGAAATAACTGGCAGCCACCGTTCGCAGCCCTCTCTGGCACGCCTGCTGGAGAAGAGGTGGAGGTCTTCCAGCAGAGGGACGCGGCACATTCGACTGAGCTCATAGAACTGTGGGGGGGCGATCCAAAACTCCCCCGAAATGTAGCTTTGCAGGACCTCTGAGGGTGTGGACCACTGGAACAGAGAGAAAAAAGTGTTAAGCAACTATGCAAGTGTGTTTAAAAAATAAAATAAAAGTCTGTTATATTAAATGGTACTAAAGATCATAAATACTGTAACTGGACACAAACTAGAATCAATAGTAAGTTAGGCAATGAATGCACCTTCTTGTTTGTCTGTTTACACTGTAACTGAATGTTGGAAAACAGAGGAAATATGCCTGTCCCAAAGTCCAAAGAGACGCCTTCAAATGTTTTGTTTTTACCAGCTGTCCCAAAGATATTCAGTAAAGCCTGACCAACTGACACACCATTCAGGACTTTTTACATTACAATATAATCAACAGTTCGTATTAAAAAAGAAATACATAACACAAACAACAAGTAAACTTGATACACATCTCTTGCTTTTTCATTTGTTTTTTTGACTGATCCACATAATGCTGAAAAAATACTATAAACTATATAAAAGTGAGATAGAGATAATGTTTATAAATAACCTTAAACCTGGTTTTGCATGTACTTATGCAATGTCTTCCTACTCATTGACTGACATAGATGAACCTAGATGTATCCCAAATCCTAACAAGTAAAACCTACAACAGAAGGAGTATTAGATATTTAGCTTAAAGATAATGACTTACATTTTCTGTTGATATATTTATCAATTATTTATGGCAGGCCTAATTTATTAATTTGTATTAAATACTTGCTGTTTCCTGCAAAGCACTTCAACATGAGTTTACTTGATGTATGTATCACCTGAAAGCGAACTATTTCCTTCTCATCTTGCAGTGTGTGTGGGATCTCCTGCAGGCAGCAGATGAAGAACATCGTGTCAAACCTCGTCACTCCGTACCGGCCTGCGGGAGTCATCCAGTTGCACCACTCGTGTAAAGCCCAGATGTTAGGGCAACACCTCCAACTCTCTGCACATCCTGATGAAGTTGGAGGGATTCTGGTTTACCAAAGCCCTCCACTTTGTAAGTTCAGTGCTGCACAGATCGTTCACCTTGTAATGCTGTCCTTGAGCAGTGTCCCCCTTGTCCTCTATGCTTTTTAACAAACTCTTCTCCTCTAGTTTTGGCACAACCAGGAGCACACCGGACTCCTCGAAAGTCTCCCTCAATGCGCAGATCCTGAAGGCGACCTCTCCCGGGATAGGAGAGCCGAATTTCAGCCTGTCTGTGGCGAATATCGGGGGTCTAGTCTCCAGCGGCTGGGTGACATTTCCCAAACCAAAATTTGAAAAGTTACAGAAAGACTTGAAAATATCCAGCCATTCACTCGAAAAGTCAGAGGAGTGCACCTTGCCCCCGGGAAACACATACGCATTTGGCATGAATCCACTTTTACCGCTTCGCTTCAGAAGTAAAACGTCGTAATCAAAGCGGGACTTGTGCGGCAGGTGTTGCGGTCCGCAGCTGCTGTCCTGCGGGGAAACAGCAGCGACAGTCCGGGGTGTCCTTGAGGCCACACCGAGCCTGTGTCCGGCGGCTAAAATAAGAGTGGCCGACTCCTTCCAGTGCTTTAAAGTAGTATTCATGCTAAAAAACAAGTGCGTTTCTTATTTGTTTTTATTAAACGCTTTTAAAAGTTCCTGTTTGCTCAGCCCAAATGAGTTTGAAGTGACGTGACAGCTGTTTCGAGCTCTTCTATCGCATAGACTGCATATTTGACTGTAAGTAGGCTACTATGATATTACAGTCTTATCCTTATTATACATCCATGATTTTGAAGAAGACTCGCCTACTTCCTGATGACGGAAGCCTCGACGGACACTTTTCTTCTTCTCCTTTGCTAAGACGTTTCGGGGATCATTGCTGCCCCCAACAGTTCAACACATTACATGCATAATGTCTTTTCCACAATATGATGTTTGTTTTTTCCACAATCAAAGTTTTAAAGAAACGTAAACACAATTTTCTATTCTCGGTCAAATTAATCAAGGCCAAGGAAATATGTCTTCATTTGTATGAACAGACATTTTAACAAACTTACTTTAACTTTCCTTTATTTTGTAGTTAATATTTCTTAATTGCTACTAGGACCCAAACGCAGATAATACCTTTATTTCAAGGGTTCTTATCTAACATAACACATGGACAAACAAAACACTCCACGGTGAACTCGGTCACAAACAAAAGACGAACCAACACTGAACACAGGAAGAGAACAGACTAAATACAGGGAGGGGTCATCACAAGACGAGAAACAGCCGGGCAGGGGAGGAGAAACACAAGGGCCACAGGTGAACACAATCAGACAACTAGACACACCAGGGAAACTAACGACAGGAGGAAAAACACAGAGAGAGGGACCAGACAATATACAAGGAGGAAAACATGACAGGGAGAACAGCAAAACACCCAAACCTAGACATAAAAACGTGACATAACATGAATATCGTGACATTAATTGTCTAATTATTATCTGACATTCTCTGTATATTCATGGCACTGATACATTTATGTATGTTTCCTCAACATATCAAAAATGTTATGTTCTGTAAAACATGTTGGATGAATCAGATGGTTAAACATGTCATACATTATTGAGCTAACCTCTTGAGATCTGGTCAAACGTTTTTGTTCTTTTCTTTTGTGCAGGCAAACTACGCTATATGGCAATTTATCAATTTTGATAAGCCTCACATATTGTTTCCATTTTCAACAAAGAGAACAACAATAATAATACACTATATTTTATATCCGGTCACCCTGAGTCACCAGCCTAGATTATGAAAGTGCAAAGGCTCTAAAGCCTGAATTGTTGCAGTGAATGCACTCGCTCTGATCATTAGCATTGCATTAAATGGTAGCTGACACTTACAGTAAGTGATTTACATACACACAATTCCTACAGGAGGGTGTGGACCACTGGAACAGAGAGAAAAAAGTGTTAAGCAACTATGCAAGTGTGTTTAAAAAATAAAATAAAAGTCTGTTATATTAAATGGTACTAAAGATCATAAATACTGTAACTGGACACAAACTAGAATCAATAGTAAGTTAGGCAATGAATGCACCTTCTTGTTTGTCTGTTTACACTGTAACTGAATGTTGGAAAACAGAGGAAATATGCCTGTCCCAAAGTCCAAAGAGACGCCATCAAATGTTTTGTTTTTACCAGCTGTCCCAAAGATATTCAGTAAAGCCTGACCAACTGACACACCATTCAGGACTTTTTACATTACAATATAATCAACAGTTCGTATTAAAAAAGAAATACATAACACAAACAACAAGTAAACTTGATACACATCTCTTGCTTTTTCATTTGTTTTTTTGACTGATCCACATAATGCTGAAAAAATACTATAAACTATATAAAAGTGAGATAGAGATAATGTTTATAAATAACCTTAAACCTGGTTTTGCATGTACTTATGCAATGTCTTCCTACTCATTGACTGACATAGATGAACCTAGATGTATCCCAAATCCTAACAAGTAAAACCTACAACAGAAGGAGTATTAGATATTTTATATTTACATACACACAATTCCTACAGGAACAAATTGGGGTTAAGTATCTTACCCAAGGGTATTTCGACATGTTGACTGCAGAGGGTGGCAGAGACCTACTGACCTCCTGATTTGCAGATCAGCGAATACCAACGTGTTAGCAAATTACATGAGCAGGTGCGGCTGTCTGTCTGCAGCAACTGTTCATATTTTCTCACACGCTTCTTAAAAACATGTCTTGTTTGTATTTCAGCAAGGGCCTTCAAAACTGCAGCCATGAGATCAGTGACGAAATAAATTGTAGATGTAGAAAACAGGACAAACCTAAATATCATTCGACTTCTCATACATGTCCTTTATCATTTAGTCGAGGATGTTATTGTTGAGATTAATTGCATAAAACTGAAATTGAATCCTGAAAAATAATCTTTTTTGATTTGAATATTTTAACCATATTGTTCATAAAGTACAATGAATGCAAACCTATCATTTATGTTTGTCACCAAGACTATATATTAAACTCACTTTAAAAGTTATTCTTACCTTTGAAAAAGGCTGGCCTCAAGAATTCCAAATGTTTATGAACACAATCCACAGATCTAATCATTTTACCTTACAATTAAATTCCCATTTGTTTTTTTCACATTTAGCTCAACCCCTTCTCATTTTGAGGGGTAAAACCGTCTGAAGAAAAAGCTTGATCTCAATCACAGGCACTTGTAGGAGGATGCTTGGGTCAACGAAGGAGAAGGTTGCCATTAAACACAGTTCATTCTCAAGGAGACAGTTATTTCTAGTAAATTTGACAATACACTGATGTTAGGAAAAGGAAAACAACACAAAGGAGAACATGCAAGTTGTCTGACAGAGAGATACTTTTGAAAACGAAAGGCAGAGTAGAAAGGGAATGTAACACACACACACACACACACACACACACACACACACACACACACACACACACACACACACACACACACACACACACACACACACACACACACACACACACACACACAGGTTTCATATGTCTTATCAAAGAAGCATTGTGAGAAAAGCTCAGAGAGTAGGACGGGTTTTAGAGCTTTCTGTTGAAAATTGAAACTGTCCTGTCCAAATGTGCTTCCCTGACTTTACCCACCTCCCTTCAATCCAGGACTGTCCAGGATGTCCAATCAGATCTGGGAACCTCCCACTGGAGGAGTGTGTTCAGCCAGCCCCAGGTTTTCATTGACATTTACATTCCTGCTCTCCTTCATTAGAGTTAGTCCTGTAGCTCAAAACAATCAAGGTTCATGGAGCATCACTGAAGTGGTTTTCTTCAGAATCATTAAGTAAGTGTACCATCTATCTATCTATCTATCTATACTCACAGAATTTAGAATAAACTTTGCAGTTTTGACTCACAGCTGATATCTCAACCAAACAAAGGTTTATACAAGGTGCATGACTTCTTGGAATTTACAGTAGTCTAAGCTGCTTTTCACAAGTGTTTAATGAAAGACATTACTTGGTGTGGCTAGATTTATGGATTAAAACCGGGGTGGCATTAACATTTAAAAATGAATGTTGTGGAAAGTGAAAATCTGGATTATGGCCTTTTAGAGGATACATTGAGAAATATCAAAGGATTAACAATGTAAATAGATTTGGATTTAGGTGGATTTTGTATTACTTGTATACACTTCATTGTTTAGCTAGATGAGCGGATTTCTTACTGCTGGTAGCAGCACAGTGTTCTAAACCTGTTGTTGTGAATGTGTTCACGTATTTACGTTTTCCTACACACCAGCAGACTGAAATGGATGAAGAAAACATCAGGAAGAGGAAGGAGTCACAGAATGGCTCCACCAGCAACAACGTGGACTCTCAGACTAAAAACAAGCAGCCTGCAAAGGCTACTGTGCTTCAAAAAGATGTAAGTGTGTGTGTGTGTATCTGTGTTTCTGAGAACAAGTCCTATTAGATGTTCACACAGTAGGATCCCACCATCCTTACCTTTTAACATTAATGGGGGCAGGTCCTGAGTACCAGGCAGTACCACAACAACCGTCTCTGTGTATTAACTCCACAATGATCCTCTCAGAGGTGCTGTCCAGATCTCTTAAACCCTCTAATCCCTAAAGTGAATTTAGGGGGACGAACAGGATACATCTAACTGGATAAATTAGGATTATTATGACAAATAAATAATAAGCACTACACAATGATGCTGACAAATCCATTGTATTCTTTAAATTGGATTGCACGATTTAAAAGCACATATACATGACAAGGATAACAAGTATTTCACAGTGCAGGAAGAGGCAGAAAACCCACTCAGTTTATTTCATTTGAAGCCTCCACCTAACTTTTGTTATATTAGCACAATGTTATTGAGAACATAAAACAAATAAACAGGAAATAATTAAAAGAATCACAAAGTATTAAAATACATTTGTCAGGTAATGTTTAGTTTAGTGTTTAATGCTAACGTGATTATTAGTACTGACAACAAAATGCTGGTGAGTGATTGATGAGAATTGTATTAGTTTCCATTCATTCATTTATTTGGTCATCAGTTGACCTGCTGGTAGTATTACATGAACAGTCTGTGGGTCACCAAGCATTATTATTATAGAAAGGTATCCATTCAGCAGTTCTGGAGAGTTTTTTTTTTTTACCAGAAAACAAGTGTCAGTCTTACTGAGGCACCAGACGAGAAGTTAGGGGATTACCAAAGGTGAAGCATCAATGTCCATCCATTCCTCCATCAATTCATTTGAATGTCTTCAAAGAATGAAGATAATTATTTTTAAAATGCACCCTTAATAATAACAAACAAACCTTAACACAAATCCAGAATTCGAAGCTACAGTATGTGATTTAGGATACTTCTGGCTCATCAAGCACTTGCTTCAGAGTTGGCAACATTGCACATTCACATCCAGGCACACAGAAACATGTCCAATACTAACTTGCATTTTATCTTTCATTGGTCATATTTAATTGCACAGTGTACAGCCTGAGGGGTCAACATGTCTCTAAGGAAGATAAAGGATATCTGCTACTTTAGGTTAGCGCAACCTTGAGAATGTGCTCTCCTCCTGATAACCAAAGGTATGACACTGACTTTCTAGTCGATTGGATACACAGAGATCGACCGCATTAGATCTCCTCATGACGGGTTCTACTGGAATGTTGATAACTTAGCCGGATTGAGTTTTTCAAATACTAACAAAACATTCAAAGTGTATGTGTTTTGACAGACAAAGCCGAACAAAAGAAGCACACAAGTTAAATGAAAACGATGCAAAGAACAATTAGAGAGGGAAACAGTTCAACAGAGCAAAACAATCAAAAAAGCTGTGAAAGATGTCTATAAAAGTACAAACAAGTCTATACAAATTGGTTTTAAGAGGTGGCTTAAAAGAGATGACTGATTATAAAAGCCTTATCTCCTCACTCAGGTCATTCCAAATCAATAATTTAAATAAAAGTGAGTGAAAGCTTTCCTTATTATACATAGAAACTTTTATCATAATGCAAATCCCACAATGTACACTATTGCTAGTCAAATAGTTTTTTCTAAATTTCACTTCAAATACAGCATTCAAGAGGTTCAACCACATAGAGGGTAACACTTCTCTTATTGTCTCTTCATGTGTTCAGGTTGGTCTGTTAAGTAGCATCTGTCTGATTGTGGGGACGATGATTGGCTCGGGCATCTTCATTTCTCCTAAGGCTGTTCTGCTGTACTCTGGAGCGGTGGGCCCCTGCCTGCTCATCTGGGCGGCCTGTGGCGTGTTAGCCACTATGGGTGAGAACGGCATCTCAAACAATATGTCTCTTTTATCAGCATCAGATATGTCTGTCCCTATACTTTGATTTCTGTCTCCAAATAGAGAATGGCTCAGAGAGGAACAGAGCACACAACCCAAGAGAAAATGCTACAAAATAGACACACAAATAACAACTGTTCTTTTGATGAAATACACATGAATCTTTTAGGAAACCAATGTAAGGTATTGCTCTATGTTTGCTACTGCATGGCACATTCTAAAAGATACTTTACTTGATGATATTAAACAATGACCTTTATAGGTAAACCTTGATCCTAATCTGTCGTATTAAATACTCAGATTGTTGTTATATACTCTTATTGACAATAGCTCAATATAATAAGAAATATTGATGGAAATCATAATATTGTGTTGGAAGATGTTAGGCCATGGGTGTTTTTTTAATGAGTTTATCTGGTTGCTTTTTCAGCAACCCATTTTGTAGTTGTTACTTTTGTACAACGTTGTACAGTTATGGTTACTGTCCCTCTAAATCTATCCCTACACCCATGAAATGCACAATAAGTTTAAAATGAAAAGACTGATTATACTTGAATATTATTGGTTTTGCTTTTTCAAAAGTGTCTATAGATTTCGGCCTACTTGTGTTATTGTGAATCCATGATAATTATGTGGTGAAAATAATGACAGCCTTCTTGATGTTTGCTTGAAGCACCTGGAAAGTGGTCATGGAAAAACCAACACAGTAAACTGTCAATTGCTGTAATTCAATAACTGTTGAGTCAGTGTGTACAGCAATGATTGAAGTAAATTGGTAAGATTAGCGGCTTTGTAAACAAAAAGTGTTTTTGTGGGTTTTAGTAACTCAGAATTCAGATACGCCTGACTTAGTGATGAGCTTGAAGGTATAACATATTAATGTTTATCTGCATAGAGTTAGTTTACAAGTTTAACAAACTACATAGTAAAAGTAGAACAATCTATGTGATAACAATTATGAGCTGAAGTGATTTGTTTCCCAAGCGACTTTGAACCTGTCTACCTGACCATTCCTTCTTAAACCACAATAAGATCCCAAGGAAGATACTGGACCTGATATTATCTACAACATTGATTCATTTAAAGTGTTTTATTACGATTCCTTTATCGGATTTCCATATGGACTTCTAAGTGTGTGTACCATCATGTGGGTTGCACCACTGCTGGATCTGATATTATCTACAACATTGATTCATTTAAAGTGTTTTATTACGATTCCTTTATAGGATTTCCATATGGACTTCTAAGTGTGTGTACCATCATGTGGGTTGCACCACTGCTGGATCTGATATTATCTACAACATTGACTCATTTAAAGTATTTTTTATTTATTTATTTTTTGTTTAATTTGTAATTTATTTTATTTATATTCATTCCCATAAGAACTACTAAATGTGTATTCCCTCTATCATTTGGGTTGAATTATTTTCCTTGAGCATAAACAATGATTAGATTTTGAGTGTGTGCGTAGTATGCGTTTAGACCCAAATTCCGACCTTTTCCTTACATTTTCTAACAGAACAATTATAAAACTCCCCTTGTTTGATTTACATATCTCCTCTTTTCTCAGTCTCTGTATTTGTGTGGATTTGTGACTTTACAGGAGCTCTGTGTTATGCTGAGCTTGGCACCATGATCACCAAATCGGGGGGAGAGTATTCGTATTTATCTGAGGCTTTTGGCTCCCTCGTAGCCTACCTCTACTCCTGGACCACTGTTATGGTGCTGAAGCCCTCGTCCCTCGCCATCATCACTCTGAGCTTTGCAGAATATGCCTCCACTCCTTTCTACCCCGGCTGCACTCCCCCTGTCGTTGTTACAAAGAGTCTTGCAGCAGCAGCTATAAGTAAGTTCACTCGTTTCCTTGTGACTAAAGGTTTAATAGCAGTAGATTACGCATAACTTGTGGATTACACATTTAAAGGTGTTGTAATAAATGTTGTTTTGTATTAAACAGTGGATCAAAGTAGGGTAGGGAGTTGGGGAGTGTAATAGAGAGCTAAACATTTAACTTACTTTGTCAGCTGGCCAGAAAAACTATTCAACAATTAAAGTTAATTTCAAATCACTAGGTTGTTGACTTGTGCTTTATATTCCTGACTTTTTTGTGTCTTCTCAGTTGTGATCGTCATGGTCAACTGTTTAAGCGTTAAGCTGGCGAACTACGTACAGAACGTCTTCACTCTGGCCAAACTTTTCATCATTCTTATCATAGTGGTAGCTGGCATGGTTATGTTGGCACAAGGTCAGTTTCCTTTATTCCAACTCTTATTAAAACAAATGTGGATGCAGAGTTTGTTAACAATTATGTACTGTTCTGTATTTGTGTCCAGGAAACACTGAGAATTTGTCAAATGCATTTGAAGGCTCATCAACGTCTGTTGGAGCAATCGGACTGGCATTTTATAACGGGCTTTGGGCTTATGATGGATGGTAATTATTATACTTCACTTATTATGCTTCTCTCTAAAGCATTACATTATTTACTTTTCAACTCATACACAAGCCTTTTCCTGCTACATGTCTTTATATAGGGAGCACTGTGACTCTACTCATCCTTTCAGCTACTCTTCAGCCTTGTGCTCTTACTCCCATTCTGTGAATTCAACCCTCAAACAACCTTATTATTATCTCCAGGAAAGACCCTGTTTCACAGTTGCAACAGTTAATCAACTTAGGGGTTTGTCATCAACAGGTATTCTATTTTCTCACAGTAATGACATGCCAGAGACTTGCAAGTGCGGTGGGGCCCAGTGAGTGGCAGCTGCTCCCCCAGCTGTTCACTCAGTTCTCGTGCACACTAAACGCATGCAGGGCAAGCGGCAACCTCCTGGTCTCAAAAGTGAAGCCAATGCGGAAGTGCCGTAAACTTGCTTTCTATTTAATGGCCATCAGGGTGTGGCTAAACTGGTTGCAAAAACAGAGCCTTTTTGTATACAAAGTCTATGAGAAGATTATCCTACTTCTCACATGATTTATTAACCCAATCATTAGTTTATTGTCTTCTTCAATACAGAATGATGTTCATTTTTTATAGTTATGGTCTCATTTAAAATAGCTGATAAAGCATTATGCATAGGGTCTATTTCTCTTTCGTCTAACAAAGCTCACAGTATTTCCAGTTAAAAGAGTTCGTTTTTACATTCTGGTGACCTCGGTAGACATTTAAACAGAACAACATTCCTTGTCTAGCATTCGGTTGCACTTCCACCCTCTTGTGTCACTTCTGGTTAAAAAGGGACAAGATTGTGTGTAATCATATTATCCTCTTCATGAGTGGGTCCTATTACTGGGCATGTGTCTTCATTGTATCATTGGGGTTTCCACATCAATGCTTTAGTCTGCAGTGCTGTGTGACCACCTGGGAGATTCTTTAGTTGGCCTCACTTCAAATCCTCCTGGTGCTGGAGTGTGTGGCTGTGTATCGTAGCCTGACTGATGTTCCTGTCTTTGTAATGTGTAAGGTCAATTTGGGAGGCCTGCAATTTTTCTGAGGGCAACTGGAAAGATGGCATCATATGACCTACCGTTTTTGTGTTATGTTTGGATCACAGCAGGGGTTTCATTCCATAACTTTTCTACCAGTTAGGCTAACCAGAGATCAAAGCCCATGTGATATAGCACATAGCACACCAAAAGACCATGTCCCTGACATTGAATGCAGTGATTCACTGCAGGAAAAACTAGGTCGTTCTGCGTGGTGGAGCAAGGCCATGCACACAGGGCCGGCCCTTGGCACTGGCGAACTAGGCGGCCGCCTAGGGCGCCAGATCTGGAGGGGCGCTGCGCTAGGAGAAAAATTAATTACATTTTCATTCTGCCTAATTTTCTGCCCTTGATGTAATACATTTATATTAATAATTGAATAGTAAACACCCTTTGCACCCCGGGTCGGCAACATTTTGGCGCTGTAAGGGATGAAAGTGGGGGATGTTGACTTATCAGGCGCCCGCAGCTCACAGCCAAAGTGCGAGCGAGCCTCCGAGCGAGCAAGAGAGAGAGAGAGGGCGCGCATCGGTACCGCGGATTGTTGTTGGATTGAGGCTGATAACTACAGCTCAGTGAGGTAAAGGACTCTGAGTGTTTAGATAGTTCACTTTAGTCTAAGTTATCTCAGTGGGTCTCAAACGGTTTGGTCACAATTTATGTAAACAAATATTTCCAAGGCACTCCTTAATAATTATTAGGATAAATAACAACAGGTTTGAAATCATTCTAATGTATACTATAGGACAGTAAACCAAAAATATCCTTTAAAACTGGAGATATTAAAAAAAAAAATGCATGAATAAATAAATGCTAACTAGGTAAAATAAGCAACCCGGTATCACGGCAAGACGTGAACATGTGACGATTTACCATGCTGGGAGACGTGAAGATGTCACGGTTTTGTCCCCTTCAAACGTGACAGCTACACGGTATTGTTAACCCATGTTAACCAGTGGAGAAATAACCGGAAATACCAAGCAAATGCTACCCCGACGTAATGATTTATTTTTTAATAGTCACACTCGATTACAGCGATGTTCTTGTTGCCCCAGCTGGTCGACACCTCTTTTAGCAGAAACAAAGGCTACATTAATGTATTAAATCGATGTTAATCCATGCGTGTGGATGTGGAATTAACGGACGTGACGTTGTGCGATTGAGTTGCCAAGCAACAGCTTTGGTTCATGTTAATTTACAAACTATTCAACTACAACCGTAGTTATATTTAAAAACATGTTAGAAGGCCTCACGAAATACTTTAATGCACATTAAAATGTAAATGTGAAGGAATGTGTGTATAACAAAATACATCGGTCATTAAACGAAACCGGAAACAGATGTAGGCAAGATCCTCAGCTCGATGATTGGATGGTTATCCACAATGCATGCTGGGATTTGGTGTTTATGTGATGTGAAATCTGAAAACGTTTTTTAAAAATACAATAATACTTTATCCCGAGTGTGCTTGCTTTTCTCTTTGAAAGTCGTCACATAACGGCATTGTAATACACGGTTCGGCTGCATTAAATATTACATATCTGCCGTAGTTCTCTACTATCTGCTGAGAAGACTTCTAGACAAACAGGAGAACTGCCGCCAAAACTGAAGATGTGACGTTGATCATAAATATATAAGCAATTAAACAGCATCTTACATTTCTGTTCACACAATACGTCTCCTTGCAGTATCAACACTAATTCGGCTGACTTTTATATTTGATCCAATTGGTAGATAGGCTGTATTTACACCATAACCGTGCAGAGCTGATAGAAAGGGACACCTGGTGGTCAAAGCACGTTATTGAATTGTATTATTTTATTATTAGATATTAATAGGAGGGTGTGCAAAACAGACAAACTAATAAGGCTTAATTTAAACATTAAAGAGTACTTTAGGTTAAGGTCTTATTTTGAATAAGAAAAAAGCTTTAAGAAGAATATGGAGGGATGAAACCCTCTTGAAACCGCAGGTCCTTCCTTCCTGCAGCGGTCAGACTTTACAACCAGCACTGCCCCTTGTAGACCCTCCTACACACACCACAACACAGACTATAACACCCCTTGCTGCTAAATACAAACCAACTTTGTGCAATATGTGCAATATATATATATGCCATTAATAACTGTGTAATTTATACCTGGCCACTAAATCAATATATATGCCGTTTTGTTTTTGATCTGTATTTTTGAAAATTATGTAACTTTTTATCTTTTTTGTAGCATATTGTTTATTATATTATAACTTAGTACTTTTTTAGCATATTGTTTATTTTATTCTAACTTAGTACTTTTTTAACACATGTAAGATATGCAACACTAAGCTGTCTGTGGCTCTTTCCTGCTGTAACGCTGCACATTTCCCCTCTGTGGAACTAATAAAGGTATTCTGATTCTTTAATGGTCACACATGCAGAGCAGACAGCACACACAGTGACATTTGTATCTACAGATAAATATTAAGCCTGACAAAGTACTTAACGTCTAATATATTGCTTTCCTGCAATGTTAACTATGTTTAAGCACTTATTTGTTTATTATTAAACTGATATTATACATATGTATTATACTCTTATAAGATGTATGTAGATAGTATAAGAAATGTGCAGAATGACAGTTTAATGGTGGAGGTACACACATATTGATAGATGTCTTTCTATCAGCTCTGCACGGTTATGGTTTAAATACAGCCTATCTACCAATTGGATCAAATATAAAAGTCAGCCGAATTAGTGTTGATACTGCAAGGAGACGCATTGTGTGAAAAGAAATGTAAGATGTTGTATAATTGCTTATATATTTATGATCCACGTCACATCTTCAGTTTTGGCGGCAGTTCTCCTGTTTGTCCAGAAGTCTTCTCATCAGGGCTCTATAAATAGAGAATTACGGCAGATATGTCATATTTAATGCAGCCGAACCGTGTATTACAATGCTGTTATGTGACGACTTTCAAAGAGTAAAGCAAGCACACTCGGAATAAAGTATTATTGTATTTTTTAAAAACGTTTTCAGATTTCACATCACATAAACACCAAATCCCAGCATGCATTGCGGATAACCATCCAATCATCGAGCTGAGGATCTTGCCTACGTCTGTTTCCGGTTTCGTTTAATGACCGATGTATTTTGTTATACACACATTCCTTCACATTTACATTTTAATGTGCATTAAAGTATTTCGTGAGGCCTTCTAACATGTTTTTAAATATAACTACGGTTGTAGTTGAATAGTTTGTAAATTAACATGAACCGAAGCTGTTGCTTGGCAACTCAATCGCACAACGTCACGTCCGTTAATTCCACATCCACACGCATGGATTAACATCGATTTAATACATTAATGTAGCCTTTGTTTCTGCTAAAAGAGGTGTCGACCAGCTGGGGCAACAAGAAAATCGCTGTAATCGAGTGTGACTATTAAAAATAAATCATTACGTCGGGGTAGCATTTGCTTGGTATTTCCGGTTATTTCTCCACTGGTTAACATGGGTTAACAATACCGTGTAGCTGTCACGTTTGAAGGGGACAAAACCGTGACATCTTCACGTCTCCCAGCATGGTAAATCGTCACATGTTCACGTCTTGCGGTGATACCGGGTTGAAAATAAGATGTGATGAACAACAAAAATAAAATATGTTACATGTATTTGTTATTCGCTATGGTAGGTTATGTTCACATACTTATTTGATTATTAAATCATATGGGTGTTTTAGAGTTGTACCCCTTAGATCTAGTAATTCTGCTCGAAGTGCACCAGATTGAAGCATTTTACTTTAAAATGTTAAAACAAATCTTTCCGGAGGGGGCATACCCCCGGACCCCCCTAGATGATGTGACGTCAACCCCCCAATTAAAACATCTTCATACAATAATGAATACATTTGAAACCTTCTTTATGTATATAACCAACATGTCAATGCGTTTCAGTTGTTGTGGTGTATTGGTCTTTTGTAGAGATTTTTTATTTATTCTTTATTCTATCGTGTATTGCTTGGAGGGGGGGGGGGCACCAAATCATAATCTCGCCTAGGGCACCAAAATGTCTAGGGCCGGCCCTGCATGCACATATCGGTGTGCTGTTCTGCAGAGGAGAATGATCAAACTCATTACTGTTATAAATGCACTATCGTTATTTTAATTTCTCATTTTTGGTAATACGCAACATTAAGAAATGACACATACTCCTTGTTTTTAAGGAATCAACTGAATTTCATTACAGAAGAGCTGAAAGACCCATTCAGGTAAGACACATAAGTTAAGTCTAAACAGTTTTTTTAAAATTGCAATTAGGTAATGGTCATTAAACAAAAAGCAGCATTTCCTTATGTAGGCTACACACTCATTGCACATGAGTACATATTTTCTGTCCATTCATCTCAGGAACTTGCCATTGGCCATCATCATTGGGATCCCTTTGGTTTCTGTGTGCTATGTGCTGGTCAACGTTGCTTACTTCACTGTTCTGACCCCCACTGAACTGCTGTTGTCTCCAGCTGTTGCCGTGGTAAGAACCATAGATGGTTGCCTTGGTTATTGAGAAAATTAGATCCAATGAGTTTTAAAAAGCTTGTAATGACTTATTAGCTGTGTGGTGTTAAATAGAGAATTATTTTTGAGGATTTAGACCTGCCTGTATTCAATCGTTTTTCCACATATACAGTACTTTGTAATTCAACATGTATCTTTTCAACTTTTTTTGTATTGCTATTTTATTGCTATTGAGATGTTGACATTTTAAATGTTTATTTTATTGTCTTTTAATTTTATTGTACAGTGCCATGTCTTTTTATGCTGCAGAAACACAAAAAAGTCCCAACTTGGGATCAATAAAGTAGTTCTTATCTTATCTTATAATCTTACTGTATGTAAATGTGAGATTTAACCTTAGTAACAGCTCAGTATTTGTTTTTTGTGCTACACTTTTGTTTCTGAAGGATATGTTTTTGCCTCCTTAGACTTTTGGAGACAGAGTCCTTTACCCTCTGTCTTGGATCGTTCCGCTCTTTGTTGTCTTCTCTACATTCGGCTCTGCCAATGGAAGCTGCTTCACCGCTGGCAGGTAAAAAAGACAACTGTCACAACATTTATGAAACACAGAAGCAAAATGAAAACATTGTTCTGTCTGTGTGAATCTATGTGGTGTGCATATTTAAGAAGGAAAGCACAAGTAAACAGAGTTCAAAACGTGACAATACTGATGTGATGTGGAAACACTTTGACAGTCAAGAAACAACAACTCAAGAAACTCCAAGAAGAATACACAACTGAAAAACAACACATTTCTAATTCTCTTTTCTCACAGACTGGCCTATGTGTCTGGTAGAGAAGGTCACATGGTGAAAATCTTATCCTATATAAGCCTGAAGCGCTACACTCCAGCTCCTGCTCTCATATTCAATGTGAGTCTTGCATATTTAATCAGACCCCTTGTACTTTTCAATTTGGTCTTACATCGTCATCTGTCTTTTTTCAACATCTGCATGGTGGTTCACATTGTATTGAGTACAGTTTTAAAATGATGTAAGCCTCTTAAAAAACGTTCTGTAATTTTACCAGAAGGCTACATGATTGTTGTATTATTCAAATGTATATAAATAATGTATTGACTGTGTTGTTTCCATTCAGGTAAACAATATATTTATCTGTTTGGTTTCTCTCTGTTTTAGGGTATTTTGGCTAGCATCTACATTATCCCATCAGACATCAACACCCTCATTAACTACTTCAGCTTTGCTCAGTGGGGGTTTTATGGTCTGACAGCACTGGCTCTCATCGTCATGCGTTACACCAGGAAGGAGCTGCACAGACCAGTGAAGGTGAGGCTTAAAGTGTTTTAGGATATCTTTTTAACCCTCCTGTTGTCTTCGGGTCAAATCTGACCGATTTACTACTTTCATCAATCATAACTTTTTTGTTTTACATTCTATTGCATTAAGACTTTATGATATCCTTCACATCCTACATCCTACATATACACGTCATATTGAACATATACAATTGTTGACCACCACTTTCATTACATTTTGGATGATTTAGTCAACTTTGTAACACCCATGGTGTTACCGCCATAAAGAAAAGGAATTAGTAACCATCCGGATCAAATGACACACACACACACACACACACACACACACACACACACACACACACACACACACACACACACACACACACACACACACACACACACACACACACACACACACACACACACACACACACACACACACACACACACACACACACACACACACACACACACACACACACACACACACACACACACACCTGGCACATGCAATACATGTTCAGTGTCTATTATTTGTATATTTACTGCAGTTTTTCATGTATACCAGTAGTCTGATACAATATATACAGTTTGAAAGGGTGTTAAATGATATTTGGTGATGATTAATGTTTTTTGTGTTAATGTAATAGCAGTTAAAACAGGACCGGTCAAATTTGACCGCGAACACCAAAGTAAGGGGGGCGGGGGGGGAACTAACACAATAGGAGGGTTAAAGCTCATCTTTTATTGGGTTTTGACTGAACAAGTTTACGCATTCAGGTGCTTTGTTAATTTGAATCTCGATACATACATTCAAACGACAGCAAAGTGAAAATAATGTTTAGTAAGGTGGTGAATTTCATTTATTTTAACGTGAATTTGGGACGAATAAAAAATATACCTAGAGAATTGCACAAAAAAGATCCAATGTATAATACTTCTCATATTTACTGGGAATTTCAAATACCAGGCCCAAGAATAAAGACAAAGTCTGCATTTTATTGAGATAGTTTTGTAAATACTTCTCAATAGCGTGTTGAATAAATCATGTATGGAGGTTCAGAACAACTTTTGCATGGCTTTTTTTTTTTATCTCAACCCTGTGCAAAAGATCATAGTTTGGAATTTTCTATTATAAATTTAAAAAAACTTGGTTGATTTTTGTTTTTCATAGGCTAAAGATGTATTATGAAAGTGACCATTCGAAGCTATATACATATTTTAGGGGAAATAAACCTCTATTTAGCAAAACTTTTCAATTATGCCAGTAATATTCAATCTTTATAAGGGAGTTCAGTTGGGTTTCACAGGGCTTAGAAGTACATGTTAAGACTATAGAGTGGACCTTGTGTAATTTTGTGATTACTTGTAGGTGCCGATTTTCATAGCAGGCATAATGGTGCTGGTGTCCTGCTACTTAGTCCTGGCACCCATCATTGATAAGCCAGACCTGGAGTACCTCTATTGTACTATCTTCATCGTCAGTGGACTTTTCCTCTACTACCCTTTCGTCCACCGGAAGGTCAACTGGGCACGCAAAATCATGAGTAAGTTGACTTTTTACAGACTCATTATTTCATGACCATCAGTTTAGCCTAAACAACAACCTAATGCAATTCCGTTTTTATGTTGTTCTGATGTCATTTAAACCTCCATTCAACTGCAGGACCCATCACCATGCATCTCCAGCTGCTGATGGAAGTAGTTCCTCCAGAGAAAACTTAATAAGAAGAGACAGAATTAACAACGAGCTCAACTTCTGCTGTTTGTCATGAAACATGTTAAGGCTGTTATTTTTAAAGCAGCTATGCACTTTCAACCCAGAGTGGATCATAACTAAACAATCACAGCTGACCTCTGTTGTACGGCTGCTTTACAACACTAACAGGAGGTGAGCGGTGATCATGAACCTGCTTACAGGGGTAACATGAAATCATGGGTCATTTTGTTTCAGGGACGAAAGAAGAGGATTTGTGTTTCTAGAGATTGTTCTTTAGAAATACATTTGCTGTAATTATAATTTACTTAGAAGTACAAGATATTTAAAGTAAAGTGTAGGGGTTTGTGAGCTGAAGAATTTGACCATATTCTCATGATGCCTCTCTCCACATGAACAAATAAATCACTGACAAAGTCTTTTTTTAACATAAATAAACAGCATCAATCATTTAGTAACTGTGTTTAACATTTCTTCATGTAGGTAATGTAGAAGACACTTTCTCTTGGCAAAAGATCACTTGATTTAGAACTACTACAGGATTTAGATATGCATGAGCTGCTCCTGCGGTTGTTAACTGAAACGAACATGGTTTAAAAATACTCTCACTTTTAAGTGCTGCATTGTGCTAGCTGGTGTTTATTAAATGTATTAATCGTGTTGCATAAACTGGACATGCAGTCAAGCAAATATTCCTACTGTGTTTTACTAACCTGAGCTCAGTGTGCTTTGTGAAGCTGTATGTACTCTGTCAAGTATGAACTCACAAAGTATGGATACTAGGTATGTTTTGTTACGGAATATTATGGAATATACAGTATTATGAACATCATCATGTAGACTTATAAAAGGGTAACTACCTTTGGGTGATTATGTATACGGCCACAGTTCTGAGTAAGAGGGATACGATTTGTGATGACCGAGGTCTCAATTGTCCACCAGATGTCAGTACAGCATTGTTAAACAGAACAGAAAAGGCATGGCGTGTCTCTGTGCTATCGTTATGATACAGTAGTAATATATTATGGATTAACGCATGAATATTTAATATTTCCAATAATATGTAATATTACTTTGATGTCATTGTGAGTAATAGTAGTCAAATGGTGAAGATGGGGACCACTATAGTCCTTACTGTCGCAATATGTGAAGACCATACCTAGGACGGCATGAGGAAATGTAAGTAAAGGTGCCATGCCCTGGCCATACATTGTAGGTTAATGCTGTGTTCAAAATCACAGATATGATTCATTTTTACTATGTACTGCAGCTGCACTGGCAGAGAACGTTACTGTAATGTTTCCAGTTTTGGGAAATTCTCAATCTTTTTCTCATACTGTAAAGTATGAGTTGTTTCATAAACAAAAACTGCATTTGGTCTTTGTTGCCCTCTAGTGGCACACAGTCTTTCCACACAAAGTACATCTTTTATATGAAATCCAGTGGTGTAAAAGTGAAGAATTTCTACAGTGGGTGCCACCAGTGGTGTAGTGGGGATTTTTTTACTGGGGGGACGCTATTTTAATTAGGTCATCCCAAACAATGCCACACAAGTGCGCATGCGCGCAGTGCACTCACAAAACGGGCAGACAGGTCCACAGAAACTACCGGTATGCTTAGTCCTACTTTAGTTACGGCCCCTACACACGGCGGCGTGCGTTACCGCTTGGCGGTGGGCGTGTCTGAAGCTTGGGGATTTTTTACGAACAACGCGACCAACAACCAATCACATGAATGTCCCGCCCCGGACATATAAAGCAAAGCATTCATGCTACATCCATGCTGGCTAAATATACTGTCTATGCTTGCTAGCTGTCCATTCAAACGAAGTACACTGGCTATAAACTCCCCAAACAGGCGAAAACCTACCAGTTTCACCCACTGTCTCTGCCACCTCCCCCATGCCTGGCTCCTCCGGTTTGTATCCCTGTATGTAAAGAGGGACTGGTCATATGGTACCGGGTGATTCCCTAACGCCACGATAATTTCCTCCTCCATTTTTTTACATCTGGGAAATAACTGCGGTCTGGCTCTCCCAACATACACGCGGTTTGATTGGCTAGCGCTTGTACTGTCAGATTTGCATACGCGGGATTTGATTGGCTGACGCCTCCGTCGAGGCGGCAAAAGTAGAACATTGCTCTACTTTTGCAGCGAGCACCGCGAGAGAAGCTACGCTTTGCTCCCACAATGCAGTTCGGCGAATCGTGACGTCACCCCATTCAAAGTGAATGGGCAGAAGCGTTGAAGCGGCAACGCACGCCGCCGTGTGTAGGGGCCGTTACTGTACTGCAAAAAGCAGACGGCGCTGCGCTCAACACACACACAGACTCAAAACCATGGACACACTGGCACATACGTTACATAAACAATTAATAGGCCTAAATTGCATAAGCTACAGTATTGCAATTAAGCAGACAGTGCTGCTTCTCTCTCTATTCTTTCACACACACATACGGGTTTTGGGCCGAGGGCGACACCGTACTTCCGGTATCCACCATTTCACACGAGGTGCAAGCAGAATATCAGTCTATTGCCTTAATCAATATCTAGTCAACTCTAAAATACCACATATATGCATTGGCATGATAATATTATTGTGACAAGTGGGGTATTCACCTGGTGTTTCTAGAAGATAGACGTAGATGCTGCCAAAATCGACCGAAGGCCACTTTCGAGAGTCATTTCTAAGTCTTTAAGGGCAATCTGACAACCCACACAGCTCTAGTTTACGCTGGTAACGACCTAGAGCACACCCCTCAAGTCCAGACATGTAATCCGAAGACATGCAGCGATTTCTTCGGTCGTTAATTCAGAAAAAAAACCTAGTGCGCTCTGCCTGGCTACATTACCTAGCTGTTTATATTAGCACCTCCAGGATATTAGCACCTCCAGGAAAATGGCGTATTTCTATATAGATATATGGCGCGCGTTGCATTGTGGGTAGCTCGTGACGTCACTGTGTGTGAAAGAATCTCTCTCTCCACTTTCAAAATCTATTTAAAACTCATAACAAACCAACAAAATGTCCAAAGTTGTCTTGAAATTAACTTATTAAATAAACAAAACGAAAAATATAGCCATACTTATGCAAACAACATTGAATCTGGACATGACATTATTCTGATTAGGCCTAGCCTACATTGCAAATAAGCAGACAGCGCTGCTTTTCACACACACACACACACACACACACACACACACACACACACACACACACACACACACACACACACACACACACACACACACACACCACACACACACACACAACACACACACACACCTTGGGTTTTGAAGACTGATAAATCCGACATGGATGAACAAACTTTGCAGCCCAGTTTCCCAGCTTTGCAGTCTATCCACGGGTATTCCTCTTGTTTCCTCCGCCACATCTCCTCCGTCCATACCTCTGGGAAAGGTGATCTTGAGATAGCCAGGGGAACGTTGCTAGCGCAGCTAACGTGCAAGTTAGCTAGCATTATCCACGTCTTTAGGCGGCTCTTCTGATGATGTATTACTAGCAGCTTCACTTGTAGCTTCGGTGCTGCTAGCCTCTTTCTTCTTGTGAATTATATTCTTTTTAGAAAATAAGTCAAGTAAAACATGTTAGCCTGCCATTATAGAGCTTTTTCGTTAGTGTTCTTGAGAGAAAGAGCTGCCGCAAAATCGGCGGACGCGGCGAGCTGGCTCGCCGTGGGTGTGTCAGTGACCGCGGGGTCACGAGCGTGATGATGAATCATACTTTTTTAATGAAATCGTTTTTATTTTTTATTATAATTACTGTGAAATGTATTATGTTTTCGTCATTATTACAACAAATACACACTTGCAACTGATAACACTGGCAATGATTTCATATTTATTAGACTTAAAAAAAAGATCATGCTCCAAATAAGTGGGGGTATGGCGTACCCCCGCGTCCAACGCCCACTACACCACTGGGTGCCACTTAATCCACATCCACTCAATCCAGCTGTGCTGAATGAGAGAAAATGTTCATGGACTCTGCTCAGCATCCTCTGCCAAATTAGGTTGGAACTGTTTTAGAGAAACAGCATGTTGGTTGTGTTGCCTGGCCTGTTGCATTTGGCTCCTTTTAGACATGGATGGTGAAGAATGCAGAATCAAGTCAACTGGTCACAAAAACACTGATTATTTGTTAACAAGTTGCAGGACTGTCTTGAAAAGGGCCAGCTCAAAGATATAGTTGTGATTCCGTTTATATAAAATAGCTGCAGCATAAATGCCTTGACTTACTTTCTCATCCTGCTATGTTTTTTGGGCTTTTTTGAAATGTTGCAATGAACAGAGAGCAGGTTTTCATTGTGTTTCATCACTCTATAACGGGCACTGGGTCCCAGGATCAATGAAACCACAGTTTTAATTTTGGACACAAAAACAAAAAAGTAAAAAAAAACCTCTGAATTTACAGAAAGAGAAGCCTTGTTGCATGTTTTGGTGTTGGTGCTTTTAAGATGATGAAAGATAATTCACTATTTATTGTCAGGGGAGTTCAGGGATTAGATGACATTCAATAATTAGTCAAGTACGTTTTTTGTAGTTGTGACTATTCATGTTCACAGATAAACTCAGTAGATCACAGGGAAGTGTGAATTGTGGCTGTGTGGGATATGTGGGTGAATGTTCATGAATGACTCAGTGTGCCTGACAGTAGGAGGCATCATTCATCCGGCTGCTGATTGTGTGGTGTCGGGCAGAGGAAGCAGTTTACTGCTCGGTCCGATTTCATGAATAAAATACTGCTCAATTAATCAGATGCATACAGATTGTGTATAAATAGTTTCACAATGTCAGGAAAAAACACACAAATCTATTTTGATAGGTTGTTGCTTTGGATCAGTGGTAGAAAAAGTTATAAAAAAACTAAATCATACATTACAATTAAATTCAAGCATTCAAAATCCTACTCAAATAGGTGAAGAAATGTCATCAGAAAGACGACTTACAGTACATTACATGATAGACGCTTTAATCCAAAGCGACTCAATACTGTGGGCAATCTCCACAGGAGCAATTTGGGGTGAAGTGTCTTGCCCAGGGACACAACGACATGCTGACTGCAGCAGGGTTTGAACCTGTGCTCCCCTAATCCGAACACCAACGCACTAGTCCACTGCGCTAACAGCCTCCCTAGTACGAAGAGCAAAGAATAAAATAATTATTCATTAATTGTTTGGAATATGTGGTTTATAAAATATGGTATAATTTCACCTCACGCTGTTGTTTAAACTACTGGTTGAACCTTAACAAATCTGTTGTATGTTATTAGATAATCATATAAATTGTTTAAATATTCTAAAATATTAGTCTGTAGAGTCACTTGTGACTATATCTGCCAAATAAATGTAAAGTAAAAAGCACAATATTTCCCAGTAAAACAAAGTATCAAGTAACCAAAAGTGATTGAGAGTGATATGAGATAAGAGCTTC